AAGTTAACTATAAAGAACATTTTTTACTTTAACAGTTTTGAAACAGTTTACAACTAATATGGTAAAAAAACCATGAATACAGATAAACTATACGGTTTTTTGACAATTCACAACTAGCATAGTTTTGAAACTATGAAAAAGAAATGTAACTGGACATTGGAGATAGTTTAGCAGCTTTATGGAACTCTACGCGTGAATGAGAATATCGTATTCTAATAGTTCAGGATTACAAATTGGGGAGTGCAGGACACTACTAACTCCTCATAAGTTGAATGAAAGGAGGAAATATTGTTTTATCAACACTGGTACTCGAACCCCAATTCTGTCGGTCACGAGACGGACAGATTAGCCCTCTCGACTTTATTATGTACCCATTTGCGAGGAACTAAGTGGTTTCATTAGGTTAGTTCAGTTGGTGGGATAAAATTCTGGTTGTTCAACCGTATTAGGTAAAAACAGTTAATAAACGGGTTTTCTTACAGTAAACATTTCGAATACCATCTTATTTGCAGTAATTTGACTGTTTTGTTTGAATATGGTAAAGTAGCAATTAAATACATTGTTATTTAACCATTTTTTCCCGAGAGATTTCTAATAGTGCGAGAGTGTCTCAATAATTTCTTATTATGCGATTCGTATTAATGTATCGTGATTTGTTTGCATGTTGAACGGTAATTTTATTTTGGTTGCACATTTCTTTTTTTCATCCAATGTTTCTACCGCTCTATATTAAAAAACCATAAGAGACACGGCTGTTTTAGGTGTTCAACTTTGCATTTTGTTTTGCTGCACAAATACTATATATAGTAAAACTACGATAGTGTGCAAACAAATGTACTGGGGGTACAAGGAGTGATTGTGACACAAGGTGAAACACAGTGAAAATTTTATGTGCATAAAATCGATATCAATATATATGTCATACAAGTTTCGTATTTAACATATTTTTTTAAAAAATATGATTTATAATTAAATAACCTACCAATGAAGAATATAACACTTTTATGGTAACTAATTTAAGGAAACTCTTAGGTTGTTACAAGAATCGCGATGTTGAATTTTTAAAATCGCGTGAATATGAAGCGCGACATTGGATTTTAAAATCGTGTGAATATGAATCATATTGGATTTTAAAAACACGTAAATACGAATCACAATGTGTAGCTTTTAAATAACGTAAAAATAAGAAAATCGATGATTTTCTTATTTTTACGATGGTTGTTTGATATTACAAACGCGTCAATAAAAATCGCAATATTGGACTTAGAAAATGCCTAAATACAAATCGCGATATTGGATATGTAAATCACGCGAATACGAATAGCACAGGATGATTAAGAATCGCGATATTAGCGGATTCCGACGCAGTCCTAAATATTTCAATTGGCGAAAATCCACAAATTAAAAGAATCATATTGGCGGATTTCTGCCCAATGGCGGAAAAATCACGCGTATGTAAGCATCTCGTTAGCGGGAATAAGTAAAAGTTTAAAATTTTGAATTTTAAATTCATCGAAAATTTCGTTGGATTATAAGTTTTGATTAGCGAAAGTCCGACAACCAATGGCGATTTTCCCAGAAAAATCATAAGCCCTGCTACTAATTTTTAGACCAGGAAGGATAATACGAAAAACCCGGAATTCCAAAGTAACCTCGGAATACAACCACCCCTATACAATGGAATAAGATTAAAAAAGTTCTAAATTATTAACTCGTCTGTGAGTTTTTAAATCTGTACACAGCTCAAAGTGCGTGCTAACAAAAATAGACATGACATTTGATTCCGTATTTTAAACTTCTTTCACAAGTATTGTTCTTTTTTAGCTAATGAATAAAAAAAATACGAAATATTGTCCATTTGCATAAATTTTATTAAATTAGTCTTTATTTCAAATAACTCTAAAAGTCAACAGTTGATTTTGCAAGGTTGCCACGACAACTATAAATTTAAAATAGTGGTAGCAAATTTACGTGGTTGGAGTTTCAGAGTTAAGAAACTTACATTATGTTCTAGAGTTCTGAATACGAAGATATTGTATTGTCATGAAATGATTATGCTGAAACGTTGCAAAAAAATTTCAGAAACTAATTTTGACTCGCACAAAAATGTTTTCGAAAATCTCAGAGAACTTTATTTAATATCATGTTTTCCAATCAATTGCGAAATATTTCTTTTATTTTCAAAAGTAGGAAATTGAATCGCATTGACGCTGATCCTGGTTTAGAGTGCAGCATAGCTACCACTATTACAAAACACACTAGTACATAACACATGTTTACACGCTTGAAGTATCTTTTGATAGACGACGGGTTGAGACTATAAGAAGCCAAACCCCACAAGAAGTTTCTGAAATACAATTAACAAACGCTTCAAAATATGGAAAAAAATTCGAAATTTGTAAGAAATGATCAAAAATATTTCTGAAATACTGAAAAGTGTTTTAAAATATTACAGAAGGAAGTTTCCGAAATATTTAGAAACGTTTTTGAAAACTACATGCACCATAGCTGTTCCATATATTCAGAAACATTCCTGAATTTTTTTTATTTTTTACAATGTAGTGTTTAAATAAGTAAGGAAACGTAAGCACTAAAGTGGTTTTTATTAACACGGGAATTTTTTTTTTTTTATATTGAATCTTTCACAGCACTTCCTAAAAAGGTACCATTAGGTATGAAACTAATGTTAGAAAAATTTCAGCTCAATAAAATAATATTTAGATCCTGCCCACTAGTAGTCTTCAAAATTTGGAAGGAAAAAAAAAAAAAAAACATGCCATTCTCAAAACATAGCACAATTTTTGCTATAAAATCCAAACAGGTGGTTGTAGAATATAAAATTGGACTAGTTTTTAACTTCATCTATCTTATTTACTTGAAACCTGTTTGTAAAACGAATCGATGAAACACACACTTTTTTGATAATCCTCCCAGTAAAATCAATATTTTAAGGAGAATTGAAAAGAAAAAAAATGCATAAATTTTGTTAACAACTGTAAAACATCAAGAAAAATAGATACTAATGATTTTATTACGAAATCGATATAACAAAAATATCAGAGATTGTCAGAAAAAAGTGAATAAAAACAGATTAAATTGATTTTCCAATGTATTCTCGCTTTTGTAAATGGATGTCTAAGAAACCCAAGCACACTAATTTTGTATAATGAAGAAAAGCAATAGCGACTGACATAAATTATAGCGATTTATATGAATAACAATGCCAATTTTTTCATAAATATGTTTTTTCTTTCAATTGGACATTTTATGCTTATCTTGCTATAACAATTTTAGGATAGTGACCAATTGTGTGCAATTTTCCTCGTACCTTAAAAAATCAATTTTCTTTTCAGGTAAGACTAGGAAAAACATCTTAGATTCTTTAATCTGTTCATTTGAAAAAAAGCTTTAACAATAAAAGTTTTAGTTGAAAGCACAATCTGAAAAATAAGGCATGTTTTTTGTTACAATAACTCTCGGAAAATTTCCGAGAGGAAGATTTCCTTTTTTTGAGAAAAATCATGATTATTTTCAAATTTTGATGCTTGTTGGCAGAGTCTAAATTTAATTTTTGTGCTGAAACTTCCAGAATATTAGTTTTACATTAAATGGTACCTAATAAGGGGCGTCAAAGAAATTTGAACCTTTCTTTCTTACAACAGCCCTAGTAAGCACATAATTCCTCATTTAGTTGTAAAATTTAGGTTGCAAGCTGATAAGCTGCATTTTTGGTGGTGTCCACATTCTTAAACATGTGTTTCAAGCTGTGTTCATTTTCTTATGCACACATTTTGAGGTGTGTCCATTTTGGTATAAACGCATTTTGAACTGTTAAACTTCTTGCAAAAAAAAGTTGAAATTTGACGTTCTGAAAAGGTGATTTTAATTTTTGAACTTAACAACTTTTTTCTGCTTCCAATTTGTTCAATTTTAAGTGCTTTCTTTCGTAATTTTTGTTCATTTTTTTTGTCTTAAATAATTACTATTAATTCAGTGTTGTAGGAAATTTTATTTATTTTTCTTTTATAAGCTTGAGCTTACAAAATATCCAGATCCAAAATACACCAGATCAGCTCATTAATTAAATTTTGAAGGGGTTTAAAAATTGTCAGAAAAGTAGTCGAGAGGTTGCAGAAGCATTTTCAGAGTCATGTGTAAGAAAAAAGAAAGACATGCGTTACAGAGAAGAGAGACATGTGTTACATGCAAAACATGTAAAAGTCAAAGTTATGTCTCTTTCATGATGTACTTTTCTTTGAAGCATGCTTTTTATTTCACTGTTTAGCCTCTTAACTTGTGTGCTTGATTAAATTGGAGAGCGCCGAACAGGGCAACCTGTGCACACTCATGATCATTTGAGCGGCGTCGCATTTTATACTGCTATAATTTTTCACACTCGAATATAATCAAGAATTGAAAATGTGTTTCTTCTGTGTTCTAAAGTGCGTTTTTTTGCATAAAAAATCCATTTTTTTGGCCGGTTTTTTTTATTTTAAAAATCTGCACGTTAAAGGGTTAAAGCGTTGAGAAGATAAGTTTTATAAGTAAAAGAAAAAGCAGAATTTATAAAACTCTTAGATAACAGAAAACAAATTATGTAACATGTAAGCAATTAAAAGAGACAAAAGTTTTCAAAGCTAAGAAATTGTTCAGTTCTCAACAAAGAACTTTGAAGCAGCAAATTGCATAAATTGTTTTTTTTTCTTTTTCTGTTAAGTTTTTTTACTAACTCTGAGTTGAGATTCAACACACATTTTTTCGACCCGAGATCTTCATTGTATGTGGTCCTATTGTAAAAAAAAAAAAAAGATTTAAAAAAAAACAGCACATGGTTTAATATTTATGTATAAATGCAATTTCATTAATATTTGCAATGATTTTTAAGGATCATAACAAATGCAAAAGTTTTTTTTCTTACATCCTTTTAAAACTCTAAATCACACAAAACCTAAAAATAGAAGTAAAGGCACATAAAAACAAATAATTAACAACCCTCATAATATAGAATAAACTATTATATTTCAAATCATTTTACATCTACAGCGTTTTTATATTCTGACAACTATCAATATATAACCAAAAGTAATAACCAAGATGTTAAATTCAAAGCAAAACATAACAAATAATTAAATTTTTGGCTTTTATCTCAAAACTAAAAATAAAGTGAGGCAATTCAAACTCAGCATTTGTCCTTGATGTAAGATAACTCAAAGAGAAACATTTAAATGCTAATAATTCAATAAATAACCAAGAACTACCATCCTCAAGTGACAAGATATCGACATCCCTCGATTTGCACCTTTCATTCAGATCTTAATATGTGGAGTCAATTAAAAAAAAAAGACTTAAACCTGAACATAAAATAATTATTCATCAAGTACAAGATTTTCAATGTCTATTTCTTCTTCAGCTGCATGTTTCTGAAAATAATTAATGTCAATATGTTGGCACAAATCTACTAAATTTTGGTATTCTCGCAAAATAGTGCAAAGTCGATTGTCGGGTAGAGGAGTTGTCAGGATAGCAAACAGGTGACCAAATACTATGGCATCAAGTTCTGTTGGCCTGAAAGAAAAAAGAAAACTATGTATCAGTTGTCCTAAATTAAATTATTGTTTCTAAAAATTAATAGTAGGAAAATTCTGTGTGTGGTTACTCTAACAATTAACAATAATTATCAATCATGTTATTTGAAAAAACAAACCTTGAGATTGCGATGCAAGCTTGAGCAATTTTTTAATTATTTAACATATAACTTTAAATATAAATTTATTATAAATATATCAAATAGTAATAAGAGTAGACTTTTACTAATAAATAATATTAATTGGTTTCAAAGTTGATGCATTTTGCAGTGATGCAGAGCTTTTTGTGTGATTTAGTATAGGCACTAGACTCAAAAATGGACCGTACACTGCAATCAATGGAATTGAGATCTGGGGAGTAGGGTGGCCATTTTTCAGATGATATATCTGAAAAATGGGTCTGGTACCACTTTAGTTTTTGGGCCTTGTGAGCTGGTGCGGAGTCTTGTTGAAACATCCAGTTTACATTGCCAAAGTGCTTTTTGCCCCACAAAAGTATAACAGTTTCTAGAATGTTCCGCTGGTACACTTTATAATTTATTTTAATGTATTTGCTCATAAAAACATGAGGTTTTCTGACACCCAGACCATGAACGACTTTGAATTTTGGTGATGTTCAACAGTTACCGAAATTCTTGGAGCATCTGTAAACCAGATCTTATCGTTCTGGGAGTTATGAGCTTGTTGGATGGTAAAGAGCTTATCATCAGTGATTGCTGAAAATTTCAATAAGCATGTGCACCTCAGCATTGCTGCAAAAAGTGGCCTCCTTAACAAACAAAAAAAAAATTTATTATTTAAAATCTACTCCTAGTATTTTCTAATCTATTTTTAATAAAGTTACATTAAAAATTGTCTGTTAAATTTTTTTTTTGGCTACACCAGGCATTTGCAAATTTTTAATTTTAAAATTCAATTTTTTTAAGAAAATAGCAAATTTTCAAAAACAATACAAAAAAAGAATAAATATTTATGAATAATGATGGTTTGAAAGCTTGATCATAATTAACGTTCCTAAAAATTATTCCAGTATGAAGCATGCAAATACATAAAATGAAATCCCAGAGAAGAGACAGATGACTCTAGTCGTCTGACTGCTATTGAATTGACACTTGAAGATGCATCAGAGACATTGAATTAGCAAGACATTCAGAAAAGTGGTCTCAAAAAATGGAAGAATGAACAGTAATTGGTTTCTTACGAGCAAAATATTTGCCCACCTCTAATACTCCCAGTAACACACATAAAGTTATCTGATATCAACACCATAACATGCTGAGTGAGGGTATCTTTCATGACAGGCCAAATAAAACTCAAGCATAGTTGCAAAACATCAAGTGAGAAATCTGGAGTCATCCCCCATATTGTAGCAGCTGAATCTCATGGTTTTTGTAGATTTTCTTTTTATATTTAAAGTGGTAGCAATATTTATATGTTAATATTTTAATCTTGGCTTAATAAAGTTGATTTATAATGATTACGACCACCACTAAATATAAAGAATTGAAATAAATATGTACAATATTCTATAATACTATTAAGTGCTTGCATAGTTACAATAATTACTAACTACAATCTGTTGTTATAACGATACCACAATAAAACTTATTTGGAGCAAGGTTCTCTGTAAAAACAGCAGTAATTGAGCAGAAACAGAACTGCAAAACAGCTGTCATTGAACTGGCTCAGTGGGCAGGTCAGATAAATATTTCAGTGGTCAAAACAAGTTGATGAGATAAATATCTAGATAGGCTTGATATTTATGCAGAAGAGTGATTCATTTAGTATATTCTGTGTACTATAAATAAGTATTTGTTATTACCCTATATTAGTCCTTTGAATCTATCCTCATGTATATGTATCCAAATTGAAACAAACATTATCATTTATCTTTAGTGTGCTTAAAAAGCAATAAAAAAAATAAAAGGTAAGAAAACTTACTTGTCACCAAAAAAGAATTTTTGTGCTCCAAGTCTCTCAGACAAAGCATGGCAACAGTTGTCAACCATTTCATAAATCTAAAAATTTCAAATACAATGTATTGATAAATTGCAAGCTGTGTAATGTATTATGCTTAATACTATTATTGAATGTAGACTCAGGGCTGGCTGGCTTAAACCAAACAGTATCATTGAAAAGAAATTTCCATAAAAATCTTTATAATTTTGAGTTAAATTGCCAATGTGAGCTTATGCAACATTAAATAAATATATGTGACATGCAATTTTTTAATGTTTAATAATTATTACTCTTCTTATGCAAAAATGTATTTTTAAAATAAACTAATTTGCGTAAATATAAAATTTAGGTATAATGCTTTTATAATAATACAGACTATCACCAACTCCATTTTCAGATGGTTTTTACAAAATTTTAAAAATGAAATTTTAGAAAGAGTCAAGATCAAAAATTGCTCCTTTTGTAAAAAAATCTTTTTAAACAATACATTGTGCATGCTATAATCAAAAACATAAATGGGAAGAAGTATTTTTCAGTTTATTTTAAGTAAGAACTTTTTTCTGTTATCAGTGTAAATAAATTATTTATAGAATGTATGCAATTTGTTTTTATTAATAGTTATAATATATTTTAAATTGTAATACTTATATAAAAGAGCATAATTCAAAAAATATTTAGAATTCATTTAAAATAACTTCACAATAAATTATGTTCCTTAAGGCTGCATTATTTATAAGCACTGCTATGCTGAAAAATTCATTGTCTTAACATAAAACTAAAAAAAAAAGAAGTTTATTCTATATTATTAAATCACTTGTACCAAAACATACCTGTTCTTTACTTTTTATCTATGTACGCACTTCATCTGATATTTTTAGTCCTTTCCATCATTCTACTATTTACTAATATTTTCTAGTATTTTTTAATTGAAAAAAACATGTTACCTTACATTTTTCATGCTCCTTTAAGTAAAAGGTTAAAATTTGTAAGTATTCAATTAAAAAAAATACATGATCATTTCATTAAGTAATTTGATGTGAATAATATAAATTGAATACTGTAAATTAATGATATTAAATAATGGTAAAGTATCACTTTTCATATGTACTCACAAACTAAAGGGGACTCATTCTTTTACATACTTCATTACTAAGGCCCGGATTTTGATGACATTTGCATTTTTTTGCATTTTTGGACATTTTTTGTCTTTTAGAGTATTTTTTTAGATTTATAGGGCATTTTCCTTTAAATTTTGGGGTGTATTTTGCATTTTAATGCATTTTTTAAAGTTTTTTGTTAATTTTTTCCAATTTTTATTATTTTTTATCAATTTTCATTATTACACTGGCTTCCAAACAATGAAGAAAATCTATAGGATATTAACAGGTGAAGCAAAATCTTTTCAAATTGAAGAAGAATTGTCAGTAAGTGAGACAGTCTTTCTCAAGTACACATCTATAACATCAGTAGACGTTGAAAGAAGCTTCTGCAGGAATGAAAATTTACTTTCAGACAAGAGACTCTAGTTTACATTTCAAATTATCCAAAAACATTTAATAATCCAATGTAATTCGGATATTTAGTAATAATATGAGATGGAAGTTGTTATATGCATTTAAGTTTCTAAACAAAATAAAAATATTTTGGTGTCACTATATTTTCCTTTTTTTGTTATTTTAGGATATAAAACATATTTTCCAAACTTTAATGAACATAGAACAAGTATTGCATTGCTTTATATTTTTTAAATGACTCATAATAATTTTAAAGAGCAAAACATTTTTTTAATTCAATATTTTTACTTTATTTAAGGCATTTTTTGCACAATTTTTGCATTTTTAAGGGCATTTTTTGCCCTTTTTAAGGGCATTAGTTGAAATTTTTTAGGTCATCAAAATCCGGGCTCTAATCATTACTAATTTAACAATTTCACATTAAAGTTTCATTTTCATGTTAAGATGAAATATAATGATAAACATATTCAATCCAAATCTTCAGAAATTCTTTTTTATCATGTTAGTATGTTTATAGAAAGAAAGTTAATGTCTTTTAATTATTTATTGATAATATTAATTAATGGTTGAAAACATTTTCGCTATAATATTTTATAATAGCTTAAATAATTTAAAGTCAGAGCATTAAAGTATAATTTAAATCTTTATTCAAAAAAAAAAAGAAGGAAAAAAAAAACAGTTTGAAATAAAAGAAAAGAAACGTTTTTTTTTCTTTCTTTTTTATTGCAATTATAAAACATTTAAAATTTTGCAATTATAAGACATTTAAAATTTTTATTTAGTATTTGAAATAAATTTTTTTAAAAATTTCTTCCACTTGGCTTTGAGGAAACCTATTACTTCGGTGCAATTTTTTCAATGGTCTAATAGGATTTTTCGAAATGTGAAAGTAACTTATGATCCGTGTTTGTAGATACAGCAGTTTTCTAAATTATTGATAAATTAAGATAGAAATCAACTTACATCTTCGAGTGATTTGTTATTCCAATCCACTGATTTTAACTTTTGCTTCATAGCATTCTTTGTTTGCCAGCAAATAATGTGATTCACAGGCCATGGAAGACAAGAAGTAAATCTTGGGTGAGTCACCTATACAAGAAAATAATCAATAAAATTTTAAGAAGGGAAGAAATATGATAGTTTTAATATGTAAAATTAGCAACTAGTAATAAATATAAGGATTTTTTTCCGTGTTCAGACGTACAATCTCAATTATGTGGGCATTTCTTTTACCGAAAAAAAATCATATGCAAATTTTACTGAGATAAAAAGAATTATAAGAAGTATTGTTGTATTTGGAGTTTAGGTGTTGTCCCATACTCAGAGCACGATATTTTCCTAGATTTGTGATTCAGTTGGAGCCGTTTCTCAACTTGAACAAATAAAGATAAACATTGAAAAAAACTCTTTTTTAAACATCTTATGTCCATTGAAAACAAAAAATTTGAAGTTCTCGTCATCCGATAAAATTGTATTTTGACTTAAATGGCATTGATTATTAACCTCTCAATTCTTTCTTTTTCAAAATTACAAAAAAAGAAGATAACAATTTATAATCGGGATGCACATGGTTTCTTTCAGTTGCAATAACAAATTTGTAATTCAATAAGAGCTGGACTAAGCTAGTTCAAGCATTGAATCCAAGATACCATATAATTTAACAGAAACTAGGTGGACCCCTATTTTTGTTCTACAAATCATTTTCACAAGGTTTGAAGTATGTATTGCAAAATCAAAATTAGGCATGAAACTTCAAAAATTTAAATTTTTCTTAAGGGAGCCAAAATAAACCCTTTTGGCTGTTTTGACTAGTTCTACAATTATTTATTTTAATAATCAGCATAAACGTATAAAAGTTTGATACAGTATACTTAAAAACAATTTAAGAAAATCAAAAAATATTAGCTACGAAGATGACGTGTATCTTCAAAAACAACATAAGAATTGAAAAAAATAATCAAAATGACCTCAATGATGCTTCTATTGTTAAGTTGCTCCAGGGTATTCTTCGTATAGTTACCAATAATAACATTATTGTAATATAATATTATTAACCTTTAATAATAATTTTAAATATGAGAATATACCGATTTTCATACAATAAACATTTTTACATAAAATCAAAACTCTAATGTAACATGTTCTATGTAAATATATTACATAAAAAAGAAATAATAAAATTTATGTCTACACATACAAAAAGCAAAATTATTTTTAAAAAAATCATATACATTTTTAACAATACTTATTTTATTGAAAAAACTAACAGAGAAAAAAAAATAATGCTTACTTCATGATAAGTAGGTTTGTCACACCAAGACACAAAGAGCTTAAAATAAATTAATTAATTAAATAACACAATTTTACAAACATTTAAACTGAAACATAAACTCTTTAATTTAAATTTTGCAATTATCATTCAATAATAATTATGTGCCATGAGTTATCTTCACATACTACATGGAAGCAATTAATACAATTTTAATAACATTAATTTTCATTTTATTTTTAGCTGAAACAGAGGGATACTGAAAATTAAGCAAAAAACTGCAAATTTCGATACTAAATTGACTAAAAATACAATTAAATTCATCAAAATAAATTAAAATGATTTTAATACTGCTTATTTATCCGTAGAAACGAATAACTAAAAAAAACAGTAATAATGAGCTCAGTTTGTTTTGCAGAAAAAGAATTTATTCCTAAAAAATTTCCACCCTAAGATAATTTTCTTGTTTTAATATAGCTTTGACAGAAAACTAATCCTGATAGAAAATTAAAAATTCCTTTTTTTTTTTTTTTTCTGTTCTCACGATNAAAAAAAAAAAAATCACTAATAAATATTTTTTTATATATATAAATAAATTTAGTCTTTATTGAAAGATAATCAAAACTTAGATGTATTATTAATATGGGGTAAAGGAAAAAAAAATGTTTAAAATAATTAGATATTAAGATAATTAGAAATGTTTAAAATAAAGAAAAAAACTGACTAACAGCCATTAAAAAAAAAAAAACTATAGTCGTAAAGATGAAAAAAAGAGAAATAGAAAAAAAATTGTTCTTAGTTCCGAAATATAATTTTCTATGTTACCAGTTATCTGTCCTACTGTAAAAAAAAAAGGACAACAAAAGAATAAAGTTTATCAAAAACATTCTGTTAAAATGCTGCACTATAGTTATTATATAAAAAAATTAGTGAAAAAGAAACAAATAAAAAAATCTCAATNGACTAACAGCCATTAAAAAAAAAAAAACTATAGTCGTAAAGATGAAAAAAAGAGAAATAGAAAAAAAAATTGTTCTTAGTTCTGAAATATAATTTTCTATGTTACCAGTTATCTGTCCTACTGTAAAAAAAAAAGGACAACAAAAGAATAAAGTTTATCAAAAACATTCTGTTAAAATGCTGCACTATAGTTATTATATAAAAAAATTAGTGAAAAAGAAACAAATAAAAAAATCTCAATTTTTAAAACATTAAGTGTTGAAAAAATAACAAAATTTACTTGCCTGAATAAATTTTAAAAAAAAGAAAGGAAAAAAAAAAGAATCACTAATACAAAATTTATGGTTGAGTATAAAGTATTCTTGTTTCAATTCTTCAAATTACCATTTGTCTTTCAGAACATAAATTAATAAGTTTTAGAACTTAACAAATACATGTAAAAACAGTTTCTAATGATGTATAGTAAAAAATATGATTTCAGATTACTTTCCATTAAATCTATTCAACTTTTCCCCCCAAAGAAAAGTTAGTCAAAAAATACTTTTCCAAATATTTGGGCAAGTATTCGGCCAACCAAATATTCTTTACATCCCTAATTAGGACACTTCTTATTCAAACAAAAATGATCAATATAACATGAGGTTGTTAGATCTTGAGTGCACAAAAATAACATGTTTATTCATAACTAATAAATACTGAAATAATTTTGACAAACCATGTTATATTTAAAAAAAACAAGTTTTTCTTTGATGTATTTATCCATTTTTCTTCAGTGCTCACAGTCACTTCTTAAGAACAACTCTAATAATACATCATGAACTAATAGGAATCAATTTTTCAGTCTTAAGTGTGTCAAATTTATGTAAAAATGCCTTGAATCATTAAATGATTAAAATCAATTGCACATGGGTACAAAATCAAAACACAAAGTGAAATGGCAATTTATGAAAATAACAATAATTTCATAAGGCATAACGAATTTCAGATATAATGAGATTTTAAAAATAAATACAAAATACCTCAGCATTGTGTAAAACAATATTTACTAAAGATATGTAAGCTCTCATGTCTGCTTTTCCAGAATTATCTAGATGGCTACTTAAGCTTATACCCTGAAAAAGAATGATAAACATAATTTTCAAATCATCAACAGTTATTATATCATCATAAATATTTATTTATTCAAAGTTTAATTTCTGAGATATTTTAGAATTATTATTTTTAAAACGAGTTTAAATTTTTTTAATAGTCTTTAGGGGCCGTTCAAAAAGTACCTACACAAAAATGGAGAAATTTTAACCCCCTCCCCCCTTCGTACATAAGGTCTTACTCCCCCCCCCCTTAGAGAATGTACATTTTATTAGTCTACCCTTTTTCATAAAAATTAAAATAATTATGTTTTAAAGAAAATTAAAGTTTTTGGATTTCGCGGCGGCAGTGCTGTGATTGGAGGAGGATGTTTTCACCCGGTACCAGAAAAAGTTTCGGGGAAAGTTTGGTGTTTGCAATTTTTTGTTTTGTGAGACAACTTTTTTTGCGAACTGATTTACTTATTCTAACAAGTGGTCGCCGTATGAAAAAAAATGCAAGAACAAACATATGTATGATATATGTGTAGGAAAAAGTCAAATTTAAATTTGGTGTATGCTTATAATGTATGTACTTTGTATAATACCTCCCCCCTCCCCATCATACAAAACAGTTCAAAATAGCAAATCCCCTACCCCCTTCGGGATGTACGTACTTTTTGAACGACCCCTTAGACGGTTTATTGAAATTTATACAGAGTGAGAAAAGTGCATCACATTATATCAATTTACTCTAGCAGGTGCTAAATAACATGTTAAAACATCTTGAAATAACCTTTTGGCATGCCTGCCAATTCTACTAGATTTTGTTAATTTATCCAAGTCAACTTGTGTAGTCAAGAATTCTCTTTTNCCCCCTTAGAGTATGTACATTTTATTAGTCTACACTTTTTCATAAAAATTAAAATAATTATGTTTTAAAGAAAATTAAAGGTTTTGGATTTCGCGGCGGCAGTGCTGTGATTGGAGGAGGATGTTTTCACCCGGAAAGTTTGGTGTTTGCAATTTTTTGTTTTGTGAGACAACTTTTTTTGCGAACTGATTTACTCATTCTAACAAGTGGTCGCCGTATGATGCAAGAACAAACATATGTATGATACATGTGTAGGAAAAAGTCAAAATTAAATTTGGTGTATGCTTATAATGTATGTACTTTGTATAATACCTCCCCATCGTACTTTGTATAATACCTTTGTACGTACTTTTTGAACGACCCCTTAGACGGTTTATTGAAATTTATACAGAGTGAGAAAAGTGCATCCCATTATATCAATTTACTCTAGCAGGTGCTAAATAACATGTTAAAACATCTTGAAATAACCTTTTGGCATGCCTGCCAATTCTACTAGATTTTGTTAATTTATCCAAGTCAACTTGTGTAGTCAAGAATTCTCTTTTCGTTTGGGTATTTTAGGAAACTCACTAATGTTGGGAAAGTTTTGAAGCAGAATCTCTATCAAAATGGATTTTTTGCATTGTTTATTGCTTGCCAGTGTATTTAAATAAGTATTACTGTGAAATAATGAAGCGAGTCTTATTTTTTGTAATCAATTAAAAAAAATTTTTTTCATAACTCATTATTTAAAAGTTAAGTAAAAAAAAATTCTGTAATTATTTATAACAAATTAAATGCCTATTACTATTCAATATGAGTATAAAAAAACAATAAACATAATAAAAATATTTTATATTCAAGTTCATTTATTATCAATCATAAATGGAAAATATTTCAGTCAATTTGAATTTATAGTTCATTAGTGCAATGCAGTTTTGTATTTTGTTGAGTATAATAATCCAAGAATTCCAGTGTTTAAAATATTAGTATGTTATGCAATACTTATGAAATTTTTATTATTTTGCAAAAATTATTAGATTTTCTCAATTTCGATCTCGGCAGCTAAGCTTTTAGGATGCTCTATTTTTGATTCACTAAATGAATGAGGGTAGGTAGATGTTTTCAAATTTGAATTCTTCAGTGACTAGGAACATTCGAGAACAAAGATAATGTAAAACAGTCAAGATATATTATACATATTTATTATATATATTTTGGCAGTTGTAAATTAAATATTATATATATTTTGGCAGTTGTAAATTAACTTATAACTTTTGCTGTATGCCTGGACAGTAAAGATGTAATGATCAGGGTCACTTACCATTGACTTTCTGTGGTTCTGTTTTTATTAAATTTCTCTTATTTGAAGTCTATTATATTTATATTAAAAGTTTTGTTTTTGAATAGCTGTTTTTGCTTACATTAATTACATGAAGGGTTTTACATTCATGTTGTTACACAAAATTATTAAAGTTTTTGTAAATAATTAATATATATATATATATATATATATAAAACTAAAATTTACCTTAGTGTGGACAAAATTTATGATTGGTTCTACATCTGCTACAACAAAATTTCCACACCTTACAAATGGAACACTACCTACAAATAATTTTTTCTTATTATTTTATAAGACATTAAACAATAAAATATCTTTGATCAAATATATTTAATAGGAAAATAGGAATAATACCAGAGGGTGACATGCTTTCAGCATTTGTCCTCATCTCTACTTGGAAATTTAGACCACACATACGCAAGAAAGCTTTAACACTTAGGCAGGCAGCATTATCAGGTAACAGTATCTGTTCCACTGAAAAAATAATAATTAATGAACCTAAATTAAACAAACATCTATATTTTATTTCATAATATTAAAAGTTATCTTGGTGTCACTCCAAAAAAGTCATGTGTTATGCACAAGGATATTTTACAAGAGTTTCACACAACTCTTATCCACTTTTACACTAACTTTCTTTTAATTTATTAGTTTATTTTGAAATTATAATAATCTACATACACATCTCTTTCATTATTTCTTTAGATACAACCTTCAATATCAATATAAATCAGACTAGTGATTTAAATCTCGATTTTAATCATGATTTGAATCATGCCAACCCTGACTAAAACCATGTTTTTTCAGCCATCTGAAATAAAATTTTCAGCACTAAATTTCTTGATATCGTAAGATTTTGGAAAGGAGATTCATTCCTTGATGCCTTTGAGAGGACGCATTTATTGCCCCCTTCCTCTGCAAATATTTTACAGCCCAATGAAGGTGGGAAGCAGAAGGAGTAGTTTATTCAACAAAATAACAAGATTCTTCTTTCTTTAAAATATTGAGACAGGAAGAATACATTTCCAGTAACATTTGCTTTTGAAACATGCATAGAGTACACACATCCTATTTAAGTAACAAGTTTTAAAGATATAATAGACAGAAATAAGCACTACCAGAATTGAAGAGAAGTCGTCTAATGTCATAGCCACTTTTAAAACAGAGTGTCTGTTACACCTATCTATTGTTAAAATAAGATTAAATTTGCTATTGTGCCAAAGCGAATTTCAATCAAACACAGAGCAGGTTAAGTTCATGAAACTTTTTCTTATTTATTTTTGATAAGTATGACAGCCACAATTGTTACAGGAACAAGTTTTTTTTTCTTATAAGGAATTAAAATTAAGATACGCTTCACTAATGACTTTTAAGGTTAATTGCATCTGCCTGGTATCAATTTATCAGGAATACCTTAATTCTTTTTTTAAAGGTAAACCATCAGTTTAGATTGGTTAAATGACTTTAATATTATCATACCGACTCAGAAATCGGTTCAATAACATTACTGCTACTGAACTAAACTCATGCTCAGATTATTTCCTATGAAGTGGCCCAGATAAATTTGTGCTCCAATAGTGCATCAGTAATGTGAACTAGACATTTCAACAAGACTCTGCACCAACTCAAAAGGCCAAGAAGACACGAGAGTGGTGCAAAGTGCATTTTCCAGACATGATATAATCTGAAGAATGACTATTCTACTTGCTATATCTGAATCCCATCGATTACAGTCTATGCTTCTTTTTGTCCATGGCCTGCACTAAAACATAGAAAAGTTTAAACACCCTAAAACAATCACTTTGGTTGAATGGGACAGATTAAAGGTAAAAGATTTTCAGCCCAGTGCTGAAAAGTTCAATATACGTTTGTGCTTCTGCGCAGCTGAAAGTGGCCACTTTGAAACCAATTAAATTTACTTATTAGTAAAAGTCTACTCTTATTATTATTTTCTATATTTAGTTTATTTATTTTTATAAAGTTACATTAAAAATTGTTGTCCAGGTTTTTTTACTGTAGCCAATGATGTACCAATGAAGCCAAAGATGAGGTGGAACAATGCAAGACTTGAAATTGATGTTCCGTTGGCCACAGACAACTAAAATATTACTTGGACCACCATAATATAATAATAAGTGTGATAACTTGGATCAGAAACTAATTACCATCAATGAATGCAAAGGGATGGTACTTTACCGTCAGATTTTAGCCAGGCAAAAAAAAAAAGTTGGTTGATATCGTTTTTTAATTAAAACATTTAAAAAGGACGGCTTTTATTAGAACCAATATTCTTCAAAAACTGTTTTAATTTAAATGAGGTATAAAATTGTTAATTACTAGAATGGTGTGATTGTATTTTAAGAACAATGTGAAACGATGGAGATTTAGCTAAAAATTTAATAAATTATTATTTTAACGCAATTTAAAGCATCACTAAGATGAATTAGAACATGATTGAAATAAGTTTAGAACCAATTGCATCAAACAGATCTGGTTCTAAAGCAAATATGAAACAGCAATTAATTACAATATTAAACAATGTCATTTTTTAAATCTATTTATGAAATAAATGCCCTTATAATAAAGTTTTTTAAAAAATCATAAATTCAAAGGGGAAGCATAATGTTTATTTACATTCTGGTCTACAATTTGAAGATATGAAAATATCTTTTAATGCAATCATTAAATACAAAGTTAGGTGAAACAACGTTAAAGAGCACAAAAAATATTTAAGAAAGCAGACAGCTGTTTCAGATGCTCAAAGGGCAACCTTCATCAGTGCAACAGAGAAAAATAAGAGAAACCAGGGTAAATATATATAGAAAGATGATGTCACAAGAGGGTTTAGAGCAACGGTCAATAGGAGAGAAGGGTGAATAGGGAGCAAGGACCTATTCGTCGTCATCCATTCACCCTTCCCTCCTATTGGCCGTTGCTCTAAACCCTCTTGTGATGACATCTTTCCATATATATTTACCCTGGTTTCTCTTATTTCTCTCTGTTGCACTGATGAAGGTTGCCCTTTGAGCATCCGAAACAGCTGTCTGCTTTCTTAAATATTTTTTGTGCTCTTTAACGTTGTTTCACCTTACTTTGTATTCCAGCACAAAGGTCGCCCTTATGTGTATTTCAATCAGTAAATATCGATAATAACACAATCATAAATAACACATAGTATTGACTGTTTTCATCCCATCAGCTATTAAACTTAATATTCTATCTTGCTGAAATATTGGATAACTGATACATAATATCTTAACACATTTTACTTACATTAATAACAACTGAATAGTCATATGTCCAATAATGTAATACATGTATGTTTTTTTGGGGGGGGCGGATAATAAAATATAAAAAAAGATATACAGAGTGCTTTTTTCTTCTTTTTTCATAAATAAAAGCTGGTCTTTTTAATAAAACTGACTGGTCTTGTCATTTGCAGAAAAGGCCAGGTTGTTTGCAACTCTGGATAGTTTATCTTTTCTTATAAATTTTTTTCCTTGATAATTTGATCTGTGATTCTGTAATAAAATTTTGAATCTGTATTTTCATCAGAATTATTTTGAATATCATATTTTGTTTTTAATTCCTCATCCAATTTTCCCTTAATAACTGCATTTTACTTATTTACTCACTTAGTTCTTAATATAATATTGCTTACATTTTGCGATAAAAAATTTATTTAATAATTTATATCAACAAAATTAATTTTAAAAAATACCAGGATGCAAAATTTTATTTATTTTGTGAAAAAAGATTTTAAAAAAATATCAAAATAAAAAGAACAGATTTTTAAAATATTCTATGAATAAAATATTTATAAAAAATTATGTAATGTACACAAAGTATGTTATGTACACATTTATGTAGGTACAATACATAAAATATACTGTCTCTGCATACAATATATTGGAATGTATTATTATTACCATGCATTATTAATACTATGTACTATTATTACCACATACTTAGGTTTGATTAGATAAGTTATAAAATAAAAATGGTAATACTCTTTTAATATAAATTATGATAATGTACAATAAAAAATGTAGTAGTATAAGGTACCTTCAAAAGGTTGGTATAATTTAGCATCATCAGGCCAAGATTCAGCAGCTATAATAATAAAAAACTGATTATATAGTAACGTGAAAATATTAGATATTTAGCATGTGGAATAAAGCAATCAAAAACTGCACACTTCATTGATATCTCGGAAGATTATATTTCTAAGGGAAACTTTTGCTTATCTATTTCATACGTGGATTTATTGTTTAATTAAGAATGATATTTACTACCACTACAGAAGTATATATCAAGTGTATACATAAATTATTGATAGTCCTGTTTTGGTATGTTTAAGCGATAGCAAAATATAGACATTCCTAATTATTTGTAATTCAATTGTTTATTTTTCAATTTAAGTTTTACTATCAATTTGGAAAAAAATAAAGTTGCCAGAGATATGACTTATATATTTAAGATATATCCTTAAGATGTATTCTAAAACTGAAATAAAAATATAACATTTGTCAACCTCACAACTTAATATATATATTGATATACTGATAATATATTTATGAATAAAATAAAATTGATTGTTTGAACATTTTAGTTAATCAAATTGATTCAGAATCTTGCCTTTCTAAATTACTTGATTTTTTTTCTTTCAATTCATGGTGAAATGGTCCCATTAATGATAAACTCAGTGCTCATTAATAATATGGTGCTGATAATGCAGCAACACAATTTTCAAAGTTAACTATCTCATTAAAAAAAGATGGGATAAAATTTGTTCTATCTAGATTAAAGCAAAAAAACATGAAAACACTCAAATGAATGTAGAGAACAAATTGTAGTTATGTGATATCCTCAGTGTCTATACACCTAATGATAATAGAGAGAAAAGATTCGAACAAACAGTGAAAAACACAGAGGAATCAGTTTAAAGAAGGCAATAAAAAATGAGCAATAAAAAACAGGTCTGAAGGGATTTGACAGAAAACGCAAGGTGCAACAGATTAAATTAAAAAAGACTTCTAAATATTGGGAAATGATGGAGTACTAGAAAGATCATTAATAAATTAAAATTTTTCAAAATATGGAGTGACTCCCAAAAATCAAGTTCTGTAAACGAAAGAGTAACATTGAATGATTTTAACACAAGAAAACTCAAATCTGTGATTAGAAATCCAACTAAGTAAAGCTATGGAAGATCCATTATTGTCCTCATTTTTAACATATTTTTCAAATTCTTCAAGTTGAAGTTTAAGGGTACTCATTTAACAGTGTAAAATTTATTAAAATGAGTAATATTATGTAATAACTGAATTTGATCCTCAACAATTTTTAAATTAACCTCTGTTTATTTATATTTTTAAAAAATAATTCTCATAAATATTTAGTCTAAAAAATTTGTAGTTACTATCTCTGTATAAATCTCTAATAAATTTGTAGTTAATAAATATAACTAAAGGCATGCTAAGAGAACTCTATGCATAATGTTTTTTTCAAAAACATTAAACTAAAAAAAAATATGATTAATTAATAAACAACTTGAAAGTTTTTTTCGATTACTTAACTTGAAAATTATGAGAAAATTAACATTCAAAAGGTGCATTTTTTAAAAAAAAAAAAATAGGTATTTATTTAAAAAAATTTTTTAAATTTAAAATCATTAAAAAATTTATCAATATCCCCTTGCTAAAAGTAAATACTTATAACAGCAATCAGAATTAAACCTATAAACAGATAATTTTACTAGTGTGTTAATTATTATTTGTATTATTTAAACAGTGAATTAATTTTTTCAAAATGGAATATGAATTACGAAGGCAATGCTTTTTGTAATGGCAGCTTAATTTTTACAAAAAAAGTCTGCATTTATAGGGATCAAAGGGCAGGCTGCCCTTCTAAAAATGCTTACGGAGTTAACTATGTTGGTCCAATATACGCAAGACCACATTAACATAAAATTTCATAATATCACAGTTATTACTATCAGTAACAGGACCTTAAGGGTTGGTGAAATTTATTTAACTTACAGGAGAAAAAACAATTTTAAACTGAAATTTATTTAAAATCTTAATAATTTAGGAACTGATTTTCATATAATATGGTAAAACAATCAGATTGTTAAAATTTGAATTAGGGAATTAGGTAGATTGTGAGATTAATTTCCCATAGATTGAACCAATAATATTAGAAGGAAAATAGCTATCCATAGTGATAGCTTTTAGGTAAAGTAAGAGAAGAACAGCATAGTAAACAAGTGCGCATAAGGCATTTATCTTTTGATTGGAAGGAGGGGATGAAAGGTTATAAGGGAGGAGCAAATCCGCAAATGGTTTCCGATAAACAATAAAAATTTTACATGAATTATTAAAAGTGAAAAATTTAACACCATTACAAGTAATAAGAACGCCTAAGAAAGGTAAAAACTAATTATTTTCCTGTTCTAATGTAAATATGAAAGATTTAAATTATTAGACAAAGAAAGATTCCAAACCCTATGTTCCAAAAGAATGGGATCATAGAATAAGCTAGATGCTGTATACCACGGATGGGCAAACTACGGCCCGCGGGCCAACTGTGGCCCGTCGGAAGGCTTTATCCGGCCTACGTATAGAATTTTAACTTGCCGATCCGTGCCGAATATAAACAATATACATCCATTATTTTTTTTACTTTGTTTAAAGCTATTTTTGTTCCTTTTTTTTTAACAAAGTACTGATGACCTTCTTACTTTCTCTATAGATGGAAATAGTTAACACAGACATCTTCAATAGATAGCATGTTGAAAGCAGAAGTTCTTTATAGAATAGCTGCAGATTACCTAAAACGAGAGTTTGCTTTTCTCGAGTAGCAGACATATGGAATCTAATATAAGTGAATTGTGCCTCACATGTGGCAGACAGCACCTTTTAAGCTCCAAGGAGCAGATTTTTCAACCGGTGCGATTACTAACATTATTTATTGCGTATGGAAAGATTGCACACTATTGTTGTTTCTAAACATGCCAAAGTTTGAGTTTTGGAAATCATTACCAAAAGCTAGTTTCCAAAATTTAATATCTCATGCGCAGAAAATCAGTGCTGTGTTTACTTCATCTCATATATGTGAAAAAGTGTTTTTAACTATGAATCTTAGAAAAAATCACTTTAAAAGTAGACTAACAGACAGGCATTTAGCCTCCTTCCTTAAAGCACATCTCACCTTGAACCTCAATATAAGGAACTTTTAAAAATGAAATCACAATTTCATTCATCTCATAAATATTTAAATTAAAACTAGTATATTGGTTTTTTTTATTTTCGAAGTTTTTACTCGGCCCACCAAATTTTTCTCTCTCAATTTTTTGCCCTCGACCAAAAAAGTTTGCCCATCCCTGCTTTATACCTTAGAGGCCAAATTATGTAAAGAGCCCAAGTAAGAAGAAGAAAATAGTAAAGTGATATTATAATCATAAAATAAAATATACCCATGCACTTTCAGTTGCTAGCATATTTATGTAAAAATTTGAAATGATAAAAAGGTTATTCATTTTGTTAAATTTTGCCTGTGATCAAAATTTTTAAAGAAATGAAACACAGTATCTTCCATTTGATTTGAGAGATAACTTTATGTGTTGATGCATTTAATGTACAATAATACTCACTTAGGTGCATTTTGCGATAAATTATAGTGCACAATACGTTAAATATAAAGTGATGCAATAAAAAGTTTGACAAAATTAAAACGATACTAATGAACTTTTCATTGCCTTAAAAACAATGAGAAATTGATGACAAAATTATTTGTCAACACCAAGAGGCTCTTTAATCAAAAAAGCTTGAGAATCACTGAAGTTAACAAAAATTTAACAATTGTTGAAATCTTGCTTATGTTTAAATTACCTCAAATCAAATACATAATACAGAACTTACCACTTAATTCTGCAATAAAAGATTCTGATAGTAGCACAGAAGGCATCGTGTAAATTAATCCTGTTTAATTTATAAATTTGCTGTCGTTCTCCGCAAAATGAGATGCTCATCAAGGGAAATGCGGTCGAAAGGTAAACAAAAATCGGGGGAAATAATCAATTATATCAAAATTGATTGTTATGAACTGATGAATTAAAATGCTACAGAAATAAGCAGTCGAAACCAAACCAACAAGAGGAAGTGAAAGTCTTATCTTTACGGAGGCAACGAAAAATGGGTTACCTTTCTATCTGTTAAATCGCCAGTGTTCATATGGATGTGGTGTTTTCAGTAGAAATGACTATCTCGAGCTATATGTCTGCTCTTGTTCCGGTCAGAAAGTTTGTAGCTGCTTACTACATGTTATTCTGCGAGGCGATATTTTCAAACGGATAATTTTGTTTTTATTAAAAAAAATAAATTAGATAATTTCTGAGCTCAAATCTGCCGTATTTCATAGGATATTAATGTTATTATGTAATTCTGGTGAGTTTGAAGTGAAAATTTGATCAAGGCCAGATTTACGCATAAGCTAAATAAGCTGTAGCTAGAGGCCCCGAGATGGCAAGGGCCCCCAGATTCCACTTTTTCTTTTCTATTTAAAAAAAGTTTTATTCGGATCTGGGGCCCTCTGAAGCCCAAAATACATTATTTTTTTCCTTTTCAGCATTGTCGGACGATTTTCAAAATCCAATCGAAGCGTTTACAAATATAAAATAATTGTCACTCTTCCCTTTTCTAACCAGAAGAGTAATAAAAAGCTCTTTTGACTGATGAAATATCCTCGCTTTCGCAACTACCACCCACAGAGTTGTCAAAAAGCCGATTCATTTTACACTGGGGGAAAATGTTTTTAGCTTCTTTAAATTGCCTTGGGCATTTTTGTCCATACTTCGTAAATATCGGATATCTACAGAAACACCCTTTTTTCTGATTTCTGGTCATAAATTGCTAGGAATAAAAAATTTCTAGGTCTGTAAATAGGGGGAGGGTCTTGTTAGGATTACTTTGGGTCATTCTGCCTTGAGATTTCTGTTGTGCCCCATTCTCGTTAAAGTGGTCCACGTTCAATTCTAATTTTTCTTTTTTACAAAATTTAGATATTTTTTCAAATTTATTATAAAAGCTTTTCTTCCTTTTAATTATCCAAAATGTTTCAACTAGCCTAATTGTTTAATTTACTTAATTATTGTAATTGATTTTTTTGTTATTTTTCAAATTAATGATTACATGAATCCGTGAAGGCCGAATTTCTATATCAAAATTTTCGTAGGATATTAAGAATAATTTTTATACCTTTGGAGGTAAGCAAATGTTTTTATTAAATCAACTTTGGTTGTGGTTAAGAAAAACATGGAAGGTTTGCACAGTTTTTTATTTATATATATTTTAACACAATAGTAAATATCAAAGTTGAAATTATTAATTATCTAATAGCTTATAATATTTGCCCTCTGTTTACATCGATATTTTTTTACTTAAGTTAGAAACTATGTCAAATTAAAAAATATGTTTTATAAATAATTTTTTAAGAGCTAAAGAACTGTAGCTTAATTGTTTAATTTACTTAATTANTTAAATTTAATTAGCCACAATAAAGAAGGAACATTGCAATGCTACGTGCTACATTAACGACGTCTCTAGGGTAACTGAATGACTGTTCATATAGAAATCGCAGGTATTAGTCTCATACAACAACGCCCCCTATAGTTCGTTGCGATCGCGAATATCAAAATTTTCGTAGGATATTAAGAATAATTTTTTTACCTTTGGAGGTAAGCAAATGTTTTTATTAAATCAACTTTGGTTGTGGTTAAGAAAAACATGGAAGGTTTGCATAGTTTTTTATTTATATATATTTTAACATAATAGTAAATATCAAAGTTGAAATTATTAATTATCTAATAGCTTATAATATTTGCCCTCTGTTTACATCGATATTTTTTTACTTAAGTTAGAAACTATGTCAAATTAAAAAATATGTTTTATAAATAATTTTTTAAGAGCTAAAGAACTGAGTCAAACCTTCTCACTAAAGGGTAATTTGTCCCACTCTGTTTTGAAGATGAGTATTTAAAGAGCCAAGAAAGCAATAAGTACGTGTCTAAAAAATGCGATAATTTTGTTTAAAGAAACATCAAATCTAATGGAATAGTAGTTATTTACTGAGGAAAAGTAAGAAATCTGAAGTAACTTTATTAAAATGAATATTAAGGTTGATCCAGTAATTTGAACTATATGGAGAGAAATATATCGTATTGAATTGTTCAGTTTTTTTTATTTTCATTTTTAATATTTTGTGATCCTTTTTTTCACTTATTTAAATGGTGGGCCACTATTTAATTTACTCTTTGACAGGCCTATCTGCCAAAATTCTTGATTTGGACAATTCTGGATTCCTCGTTTTATCATTAACAATCATTATATTATTAATAAGGTTTTATATCCGACAGTTAAATTTGCAGTTCTTGTGCTATATCTAATCTAGTTTTATTTCTGGTGTATATACATAAGCTGAAAATAAATAAAATAAGCCGAATTATGGTTTACTTCTAAATGAACTGAAGAAACTTGTTATAAACGTTAAAAATGGTAATTTTGAAAGCATTTTCCTTCATAAAAGAATTTAGTTATTTTATCTTGATTTGAAAAGTGCGATATGAAATACTAATGTAATCTTTTATAAATGATTATTCTTTTGAAAATTAGGAAAAGTTAGATTGTTCAACATTCAACATATTGTTTTTAGAAATATATTTTCATTTAAAAAATGCCATTTCTATATAATTGGTATTTTACTTTAAATAATTTAATAAAAAAACCGAACGATTATATAAGATATAATTTATAGGTTGGATCTAAATATAATCAGATATTATAAAAAGTACTAACTAGAAGTTATAAAAGTATTCATCCCTAGTTATAAAAAGTACTAATTCGCGAAACCTCTTTAACTCTCCCCGGAACCCTTAAGCTCCATAGAACACAGTTTGAACTGCTTTTCTAAGGTATCATGATGAAATTACCACAATTTACTACCGAACAGCATGGTAAAAAACTATATTTTTATTAGGTTAATTTCATGAGAAGTGATGACCAAATCACTACGGAAAAAAATTACCCTATTTTTTGGTGCTCTCATAAATACTATAATTTATATACATATATATATATGCATATATTATAATAAATATACATCATAAATTTTACTATGCTATGTTCTAATAGTTTTGACCATTCTTTTTTTTCTCAGTGCGGTTAGTACCTTGGTTAAAAGGCACTGTATTGCCGCATACAAACAGATGTGTTTTTCTCAAAATTTCAGATAGCCTTCTACTTTAGCACCTCAAATTTAAAAAAAAAAAATTTTTTCGCAAAATTGAATAATCCCCCCCCCCCGAAAAAAAAACACGCTTTAGCACTGCAAGAAATTAATACTCTGAATACAAATTTTAACGCTTCAAGATCTTAGTCAGAAATCGTTAGCGTTCCAATACCCTTTTACCCTTGATCCCTATTAAACAGTTAC